TATATATATATATATATATATATATATATATATATATATATAAATCTAATTATTTATTTAAATTTTTTTTCAGAGTTGGGGAGTGTGCCCCCAAAAAATTACTCAAGTAAGAGTAACATCACTTTATCATATGTCTACTCAAACAACAGTAAAAAAAAAGGAAACTAATATATTTATTAATACAAACTAATTATAATTATAAAATATTGACCTCAACATGGTAGGAAAAAGTAGGCTTGTGAACAAAAAAAAAAAAAAAAGAAACAAAAAGACGAACTAACAAAAAACCCCCTTCATTTTGACATAAAGCTTAATTGTGTGTCTTTATTTGCGGCACTGTTTTTTTTTAAGCAAGCACTTAAATAAAAGTAAAAACTTAAAGTAACGAGAGGTAAAACAGTAGTAAAACTACGGTACTCATAAAAGTATAGCTTAAAAAAAAAAGTTACTTAAGTAACTTTATCTAAACAAATGTAAATAGTAGCTACCCACCTCTAGCTATATAAAAGACAGTTTTATGCTCACCATCTTTCTTTATATATAAACTACAGTACCATGTTCTGCCAATAGAGGGCGTTAGAAGTGACGCCTTTAGAAGAGCGTTCAGGCCACGAGCAGAAATTCCCTGCTTCCCTCGAAATGACGTCAGTGTCTACTGTGCTGTGGCAAGTCGTAAGAGCATTTTGCCAAAAGCTACAGTGAGCACCCGTTTCGCTGAATTCAAAGATCGTCTATGCATCAAATAATCCTCTGACATAAATCAATCAGAAACTGTCCTTTTGCTATATGTTTCTTGTTTTTTCCAAGTTTTTGGGGATCTTTTGAGAATATGATCAAATAGCAGAAATACATATTAATGCATCCTTCCCCTTAACTATTTTACAAGCTTGCTGTCATTTTATTTAGTCAGTTTAGACTAAAAAAGTAAAGAGACTTGGCATTGTAAAACCCCCAAAAAAGCAATAATAACTTAAACAATGAAAAATAATATAAATAAATAAAAACTGACACTTGAAACAGCATTGTTAAATAATCAAATGTGAATAAAATATTACTGATCACCTTATGATGCTTATGCTGCAGCTCGCAGAGCTCTTTCAGTGACGATGTTAGTATGTTTGATGATTTTGACATCGTAGGCAGAGTTAAACTGAGGGATCTAAGACAATCAGGTTTCCTCTCCATCTACTTTCAGGAAAGACACTTGTTTCTAACATCTAGTGCGATAGGAGAACACCGCTCCTGGTCTTTCAGTACACCCATATATTTAGCTGTACAGGAAAACATTGCATATTAACAAAGGTCCTAAGAACTTTTACTCTGTGTCCAAATAATGAGTGACGTTCAATTGTTTCCATTCTGAATGTCCCTTATCATGCTATAAAAACATCCTTACATCTTAGAGCAAACAAATCTCCGAACCTACAGATTTCTTATGCAGCTTCTTTGTTATTATCTTAACAGAAGTAATACAAAGGGAAAATAGCGCAATAAGGCATATGACATAGGAAATAAAGGTGAAACAAAGAAATTGGATAAAGATGACTAGAAAAAAGGTGGATCTTTAGGCTGCACAGCAGTTGATGGTATGACTAACTGGTTTGACTCAGACTGGGGAAATAATTAATAAGTAGATAACATAGTACATCAGACGGAAGCAGCAGTTCTGCATCTTTAGGATTTATAATCTACCCTAATGAATCATATAAGTCAGATGAAAAGAAACCAAGAATCACTGACCGTAAAATCTGCTCATTCCATCTGCCCTGACCATTTACACAAACTACTTTAATAAAGTATTTTTGTTGTATGGCTTAAATAATGTATGACTGAAAATGTAACAATTTTAAATAGGAAATTGATAAACAACATTTAAACAATTATTTTCATTATTTACTGATTAGTTGATTTATGTCTTATGGTGTCAGGAGAGGCCTTTTTTCGCATAGAAGCATGATTTGCTTTGGTCTCAACTGAATAAATATTAGGAAAAAAAATAAGGCAAAAGAAAAACAAAGAATGATAATTATAAAACAATATCGTCAAACTGACCATTAGATTGGCCTGGAGGTGGGAAATTATATGTAATTATACAAATTGTCATCTCTCCAATTCTATAATTTATAGATAGATAGATAGATAGATAGATGTACTTTATTTATCCCAAGCTGGGAAATTGCAGTGTAGCAGCAGCTTTACACATAGTGACGGTCACAACACAATAAGATAAGAAAAAAGTAAAAATAACATAACATCCACGCGTATTTACATAATAAGGGTAATTTACATAATAATTATAAAGCAACTTTTGTAGTTATGGAGGTCCTCCATATACAGTGAGTTCAAACATTTTGTAAAGAAGTCTGCAAATTAGATTTACGCTTTTATTAGTGTAACTAACTCTGCTTTTGTCTCCTTGAACCCCAGTCGACCTCAGCAGATGGCCGCTTATACTGAGCCTGGTTCTGCTGGAGGTTTCTTCCTGTTAAAAGGGAGTTTTTCCTCTCCACTGTCGCTACAAGCATGCTTATTGTGAGGGATTGCATCCCAGTCAATGCAATCACCTGGTTTTCCTTAGATAGAAAACTTTGAATTAATTTAACTGTATGATCTGGTGAACTGTAAAGTGCCTTGAGATGACATGTGTTGTGAATTGCCGCTATATAAATAAAATGAATTAAAATAAACCAAATTAACTTCAGAGTATCAGTTTCTTTCCTCAGGTTAACGTCTTAGAGTCCCTGCCTTTAGATTGAACCGCTATAAGAAGTCATTTGTTCCGCTTTCCATTAAGGAAATAAACAGTATCAAGAAATAAATTGTGGAATATGCAATGGTATTCAAAATTTAAACTAAACTGACATGCTTTTTTCTTATGTATTCATTATCTCATATAACAGTTTTTTTTAATGAAGGGTTCTTATACATTTTTTTTTATTGTAAATGTAATTCCTAATTATTTATTGTCTTATAATGGAATTTCTATAGCAGTGTTTTTATGCGTGAATGCAGTGAGTCTGTACCCAAATCAAATTTCCTTTGGGACAATAAAGTTAATCTAATCTAATCTAAACTAATCTAACTGTACAGAAGAAACATAAAAAATCATACCGAGAAACAAAAATATCTCCAGAGTGAGACCTCTTCACCTTCTCCTTTATTTAAGCTCTTGGGCGTCTCGTGTGCGCCCGCCCCATTAGTGACGCTCTTAATTCCCCGCGTCTGATTGGTCAATATGGACGTCAGTCTGGGGGGATCATCCGCTTGTGTAGTAGGGTTGTTGCAGTCTGCGGGGATGTGCGGATTCTGAACGGGCTTGTTTTAAAGCCGCCCAGCAGCGAACATATCGCTCCCCGGTCCAGGAGCTGGAGCTAAGTTTAGCTTTTGTCTTCTACCTCCATCCCTCCTCGGAACCTTTTTACAACCCCTCTGGAGATAATCACCAATTTTACCTTTTATTGTGGATACCTTTGCACCGGACCAAGCTTCTATATCTGCGACGCGTTTTTTATTATTACCATTATTTTATTTAATGGGGAAATAAGTATAGATCTGCTCCTGTGTAAAATTCAGATCATAGAGGGGTTTATGTGAGGAGAGTTTTCTGGGATTGTGTTCATATAATTGTATTTACCATCACTGCGGAGGCAGTAGAAGTAGTAGTATTAGCTCCCACCTCCTCATCTACATCCTACTCCTCTTTTTTCTTTTCTTTTTGTTTTTGTTTGACCGGTTTTCTTGGTTTAGAAGAAGATGGGACTGCCCGCCCTGGAGTTCAGTGACTGCTACCTGGACAGCCCTCAGTTCAGGGACAGGCTCCGGTCCCATGAACTGGAGCTGGACAAAACCAACAAGTTCATCAAGGAGCTGATTAAAGACGGCAAGGCGCTGATCCAGGCTCTGAAATGTGAGTAAAGCTGGACAGCTGTGGATGGAACTGAAAAAGCAAACAGATGAAAACAGATGACAGCTCTGCTGCTCATAGACTGCTGTGCTTCTGTTTGCTGTCACACCTACAGTTGTTCAAGTGTGTACTAAGTCTTAAATACATGTTATTATTTCAGTCTGCAGCAGATTATAACCAGGATCCCATTAGATTCTTTAATAGAATAGAATAGAAACACCACAGTAAAACCACATATTCCCCCACAATGTGGAAATTGTGGTGCTACAGCAACAAAAGGTATGGAAGAGGATTAGGGCCACTGAGAAAAAATTAAATGTTAACTGATTTTTAGATATTATTTCAGTTTAATATGGGAAAGTAGAATTCTCAGAATTCGGATTTTAATCTCAGAATTCCGAGATTAAAGAATTCTCAGAAGATTAAAGTCCAAATTCTGACTTTTTCCCCCTCAGAATTCTTACTTTAATCCCAGAATTCTGAGAAAAAAGTCAGGATTCTAAGATTAAAGTCAGAATTCTGACTTTGACTCTATTCTATAACACTAGTTATCTATATATTATATTCATAGGACAAATATATTAGTAAAATTCTGTTTATTATGGTATTCATCTCTATATTTATTCAGTAGAAACCCATGTCCTGTACTTATGGAACCATTATTTATCCTGCACTTGCTGCTATTGCACTTCTGGTTAGACCTAAACTGCATTTCATTGCCTTGTACCTGTACCTGTGTAATGACAATAAAGTTGAATCTAATCTAATCTAATCTTTAATCTGACTTTAGTTTAATCTGAAAAAAGTTGGAATTCTGACTTCTTTTCTCACAATTCTGACTTTATTCTCATAATTCTGACTTTTTTTTTCTCATAATTCTGACTTTAATCTCAGAATTCTGAGAAAAAAAGTCAGAATTATGAGATTAAAGTCAGAATTCTGACTTTTTTTCTTGGAATTCTGACTTTAATCACAGAATTTTGGATCTTAATGTAGATGGGCACCATGAAGGAAGAGATGTGGGAGCTTTAGCTTCACTGACAAAGATGTGAGTTGTTTGAGCGGGCCAGTGACACATTGGAGGAAAATGATGGAATTAGGTGACTTTTTATGTGCCCAAGGGGTCCCTGGTGATGCTTTTTCATTAATCGAGGAGCAGAAGGTGATTAAAACAAGAGAGCTAGTTTAGTCTTTAAACATGGGTAAGACATGGCTACGGCTTGATGCTAACATGTTTGTTAGCTGTCAGTCTCTAAAACAGACATGGCTACGGCTTGATGCTAACATGTTTGTTAGCTGTCAGAATTCAGTCAGAATTCAGAGATTTAAGTCAGAATTCTGACTTTTTTCTCATATTATACTGAAATTAAATTTTAAAATCGGTTAACTTTTTTTATTTTTTCAGTGGCCCTAATCCTCTCCCGTACAAATGTGTGATCAGCGTTGAACTACTGTGATGACAGTGATGATGTTTTAGTCGTGAAGGGTCAATTAAAAAGGTTATTTCAAACATAATTTTTCAGTAAAACTTACAAACTATCTCTTTAAGGGTGACGACCTGAGCTTCCACCCCTAACTGCTAATGGTTTTAGAAACTGGTATCATTAACAAACAACCTAATTTTCTTTCTATGGTAAAGGGAAGAAGAGTGTTATGGCTGTCTTTAAGCCAGCTGACCAGTAGAGTGCAGCTGCATGTAAAAGGATGAGCTCTACATTTAAAGTCTTAACTAGTTTTTAACCACTTTTGTAAGAAAAACTGGTTTTAGTAGTTGCTAAGAAGATTTGTTGAAGCCTCTTTTTTTGTTTCTCATCCCACTACAGCATTACATTCAGCTGTTGTTATAAAAATGCTGCGGGAATCTTCCAGCTCTTTGACTTCCTCACCAGAGGTAGTGTTGAATTAGTCAGTGTCTGCCTGTGTGTGTTACTGATAAAGGACATAACAAGAACAGTTCAGATCAGGCTGATTTAGCTGTACAGTGCATGGTGTCCTCTCAAACTGTCAGCACATTTGTCCCTATCGGCTTGTGTTATTATGGGACATTGAGTGTTAGCTTTCAATCTAACTGATGAGTGCTGGCATCTATGTCTGTGCGCTGATGCCTGCACTGTCCCTGTTATGCTGATAACGGCTGATTTCTGAACTACGTCTGAATATCAGTTACAAGGAACTCTGAAGCTCATTTTTCATGCTTATGATCTGCTCGTTTGGCATTCGCTGTTATGAATTGAACAGTTCATAAGGTGACAGTGTTGTGGAAGAAGTGAAGCGAAAACAAAGATTTCACACTGGCAGGGTATTTGATTTAATAAAAATGTCCCATATTTGAATTTTGAGTCTGAAACTCGGACTGCTGTTCTCACACATTGCAAGATGGAGGAATTACATGACAGGAACATTACCTCAAAGACTCCGATTAATTTTTGTTTTTCTCTTTATGCACCGTCACCATCGTTTTAATGTCTAAATATGACAACAATCTGGTCATTTTCTACTTTTTACTTTTAATAACATGTTTTGATTTTGGGCCTTTATTGTTTCCCTTTGATAAAACACAATATCCTTTTCCTTTTTTATTTTCAGCTATAAATAATATCATATCAATTGATCTGAAATTTAATTATAACACAAATAAGGCGGGCTCTGCTCTCCTAATGCCAGAAGGTAAAAAGCTATGCAAAGCTATCCTTTGGTGAAAGACTTATACACCCTGTTTGTAAAAGGGAGTGCTAGCACAGGTCATTCATCCCTGCTGCCATTAGACTTTACAATGCAGCATTATAACTCCAATAATTTTTGCAATATCTAATGTGCAATTACTATTTAATACCCAGTGCAATGACCTGTTTTATAATTTATATCAGATACCCAGTGCAATAACTATATATATAAATACCAGTTTATATAAATACCCATTTAGTAATAATAATAAAATAATTAAACTTTATTATATCTGTGGGTGGGAGCGCCCGGAGAGCAGTGTGGGGTTAAGGGTCTTGCTCCATAATACCCTGTGCAATAGGGTTAGGTATAGTATATTGTATACTGTATAATAATCCTGTTAAATAAGAGATTTCATTTGTTCCATCCATCCATCCATCCATCCATCCATCCATCCATCCATCCATCCATCCATCCATCCATCCATCCATCCATCCATCCATCCATCCTTTTGGCACCTTCCTTTTCTTCTTGACTATGGAGTCGATGTAAAAAGTGAATTTATCTACTGTGAGATCAATCAATCAATCAATCAATCAATCAATCAATCAATCAATCAATCAATCAATCAATCAATCAATCAATCAATCAATCAATCAAGTGTTTTAATATAGACCTAGCACTTGGATAATTGATAATCTCATACATTGTCCAACTTGGAAAGAAGAAGAAAAGTCACTGAATCCAATAAAGTTCACTATATCTTAGTAAAGATGTTGAGAGGTTCCGGTGCCTTCTGCATTGAGTTTGCATGTTGTCCCTGTGCATGCCAGGATCCTCCACCGGTGTTCTGACTTCCTCTGACCTACAAAAACATGAATATGAGGTCAGTTGGCCATTTTAGGTCTGAGTTTGCGTTTGTATGGTTTTCTGTGTGCACGGCTTTTGCCAAGCAATTCACTGAATAAGCAGACAAAGAGAATTAAAGTGTGGATTAGCTAACTACTTTTAGAAAAGAAGCATCCTCATTCAAAAATTGACATCAACAGTTATCAGCCTATTTCCACTATTTCCATTTGGTTGTTTTCAAAAGAAGAGATACAAACACAGTTTTCCTTGTATTGAGTTTAGTTAACCTCAAATTGTCTATTTGAAATGGAAAATAAACTCATGACCAAAAAGACTTGTGAATAACTGAAAGAGATACCAATTCAGTAAGTTCTAATAACCCATGTTAAGCGTTTTATGAATCAATCTTCAATGTCTACCTTTCTTCCTTTGCAACTTGAACTTTTAACCCCAGACGATTATCAGCCACAGGCGTGGCATTCCTTCCTAAAGCTATCTTTACCCACAGAGCTCTGCTCATTTTAGTTAGCAGCTATTAGAAACAATGATTGTTTTGTGCAAAAAAAACTCAACTTCTAAAAGGATGGTTGGATTTACTGAAGTCTGTGTGTTTGCTGCAGGAGGTGGCAGCAGGTCTTTTATGTCTTACTTTATTCTTTTTATTTAACACCTTCTCCTCTGCCACTGAGCAGCTGTGTCAGAAATCATCCAATAAATAAAAGTGAATAAGTGCTTCTTGTAAATGTGTCTCTAAGAGCTTTCACTTGTGTTTTCACTCTGCGTTAAACACTGAAAAAGTGAAACCTGCATTCGCATTGTGCCACATAGATTAGGGCTACAGCTTCCTCTTTATTTGTTTCTGTCTGTAGATGGACTTTTATAGGTTTTACCGTTGGACTAAACAATGCATTTCGCCATGATAGATTACTCTTCTACCTTTCTTTGTCAGGTTGCAATAAAACATCAACAAAAAACATAACAGTACCAGTCTCCAGACTCTCCTAATGATTAATTCATTTTCTGTTTTAACACCCCCCATTTTGAGCCAATCCAGTGGGAGAGATCAAAGCCACCTTTTGTCCCCCCCTAAAGGGCGGATTATACTTCTGCAACCCCACATATCAAATTTCGCTTGTGTCTGGTCGCAAACCAGTTTTGCTGGTATGCTTCTGCAACGTCGGTCTGGAGTTTCTAGGGACGCACAGCATTTTCCCGCCACAGCGCTAGGGGAAGCCTATTCAAGAACTTGCGAGAATTTCTCCGGCGGCACCGGCGGGAGTGTTTATTTTCCAAAACAACATGTCTGAGGCATCGTACAAGTGGTTGTACTTCCGAACCTCCTCTATCAAGCTTTCGTCGCGGTTATCCATTGTTGTAATTATTCCTCAGTTTTTAAAAATGGCGCGCCCCCGCACAAATTCAAGAAGGACCAAACAGACAGCTGGAAAGGCATACCAAGGACCAATCAAAGCTGCTTTTTGTCTGCGCAC